TTTTTTTTTTAAGTTTATATGTTGTTTAATATTCATTCACTTTTGTTTCACATGGTGAGTTTAACACTATTTTCGCACTAGTGTGAACCGAGCTCTGCATTATTTCGTCCCGTTATGCGAACACAATGTTCTAGGGTGGGGGTGAAAGAATGCAAGAATTTTTGGAAAGTTTCAAGGACAAATACACCGCCCCAGGTTATTTAACGGTACCATCTCAGTGTGAGAGTGCATTGTGAAAGTAAGTATCAGTTTCTTAATATAGATCTTCAAGTGCGTTAGCAAAATGTCGGGGTTTAAAAGGAAGCGTGTTGTGTTAAGTATTCAACAGAAACTTGAAATTATCAATCAGCTGGAAAAAGGAGCTGTAGTTAAACAATTAGCAATGCAATACGGTATTGGAGAACAAACTGTTCGTGATTTGAAAAAACAAAAGAATGAGTTAATTTCCTTTGCTTCGTCTTCTAATTCAAGCGGAATGAAGAAGAGAAAAACCATGAAGAAATCAACATACGATGATCTCGACAAAGCGATGCTGACCTGGTTTAATCAACTAAGGGCACAGGGAACAACAATAACAGGACCAGTTTGTGCTAAACAAGCTAAATATTTTTTCGAAGCACTTGAACTAGAAGGGAGTTTTGACGCTTCTTCCGGTTGGCTAACACGTTTCAAGCAGCGTCATGGAATACGAGAAATCAGTATTCAAGGTGAGAAATTGTCAGGGGACTTGTCAGCATCAGATCAATTTTGCACCAATTTTGATAGTTTTGTGAAAAGTGAAAATCTGCTGCCAGAACAAATCTATAATGCCGATGAAACGGGTCTTTATTGGAAATGCTTGCCAACCAGAACATTGGCATTTCAAAATGAAAGACAGGCTCCAGGTCACAAATCCAGTAAGGAGAGATTGACAGTCTTGTGCTGTTCTAATGCATCAGGAACACACAAACTAATACCAGTAGTTATCGGCAAAGCGAAAAGACCACGCTCTTTTAAAGGAACAGTAGCTTCAAGTCTGCCTATCCATTATTTTAACCAGAAAGTAGCTTGGATGAATAGAGCGATATTTAAAGAATGGTTTGATTTTAAATTCGTGCCTCAAGTTCGTGACCATCTAAAATCCCAAGGCCTACCTGAGAAAGCTGTGCTCCTCATTGACAATGCGCCCTCACATCCTAACGAAAGTCTCCTGAGGTCAGATGATGGAAATATTTTTGTGAAATATTTTCCCGCTAATGTTACCGCACTTATCCAACCAATGGATCAAGGAGTTATCTCAAGTATGAAGAGAATCTACAGATCAAATTTGCTACAAAAGTACATCGATGAAGGCAATGATCTGACGTGTTTCTGGAAGTCCTTTTCAGTATTAGATGCCATATACGAGATTTCAACAGCGTGGGATACAGTAAAGCCATCTGTATTGAAAAATTCATGGAAGAAACTGATGCCTTTCATCACTAATGAAGATGACGAAATCCATGGATTCACTGGATTCAGTGAAAATGAGATAGCCATAAAATTGACAAAAGTGGCTAACCAAGTTCATGGTGGTGAAGAAGTCAACGAGGAAAATATAAGAGAGTGGTTTAACTGTGACTCGTGTGAACCGGGCTTCGAAATGTTAAGCAGTGACGAAATCGTAACTTCAATGGGGGTGCAGCCAGAAGAGCGGGAAGAAAGTGAGAATGAGGAAGAGGTGGACAGTGTTGCCAGTAAGAAAGTATCACATGGTGCTGCGCTTAATCATTTGGAATCCTTACTAGACTATCTTGAGAGTGAAGAGGACAGTTTATTAAGTGACAAGCTAATATTACGTAGGCTTCGTACGGATATCCGTAAAAAGGAAAATGCCGCGAAAAA